TTTCCGTCTGTCTGTCTGATTGTCTGGCGGTCTGTTGGCCGTCTATGCCTATCTAATCGTCCTACTAACAATGTGATGACGTCACTTCAAAATTGTACACAATAGATTTGCTTTAAATTTTATAAAATAGCATACTCTTACATGTAGTTTATGAATCCGTGTTGATTTTTTGCCCGAAACATCCAGATTTAAAAAAAAATCAAAAATGTATGATAACATTTTGCAATTTAATTTTGAAACTGCAAAACCGAATGCTCTAAAATTACAAAATGCAAACGTTTTAAGGTTATCATAAGCATGGTAAATCGTGAATCAAAATTTATCCGTTTACCGCCCCCAAAAAAATGGATGACGTCTCTCAAGAACGGCTCAAAACATTTTGCTGAAAAGTTTATAAATTTGGACAATTTTTTTTAAATTAAAACTGAAAATGCTCGCTTTCTAAATATCCTTTCTTTAAAGTTTAGTTTCAGAAATACTTAAAACGTTTTAGCGAAATTGTTTGGAATCATTTATAATCATAATTTTGTAGATTTTTGGAAACTCATTCTTAGAATACGAGGGCAGTGAGCACATTCAAGCCTTCTCATCATTAGTAACGACAATTGATAATAATAATAAATAGATTTTTTCTTATAATTTAGCTTCTCTGTCAATTTCTTGTTGCGAAACGATGACTACGTATATTAAGAAAAAATGGACCAAATATAAGCCCCGCCCACCCACCCCTTCTCAAATGTGATAAATATTTTATTCATCGTGAGCTGAAGGGTGGAGTTTAGTTACAAAATCCTCATTTCTCTACAAGAAATAACCATCCATCTGAAATATGTTTTCAAAAGGGTAGAATTTTTTGAAGAATATTGATGTTACAATTAAACTCCGCCTTTAAAAACTCATCACAATTGAAATCCGGGCGGGTGGGTGGGGCTTACTTTTTTCTTTGTTTTTTTAATATATAGAGTTTTTTTTTTCAACAAAATAGTTAAAGATATTGTCATTTTCTTGTTGGGAAAAGAAGACTTCGTATATTCAGAAAAAATGGACAAAATATAAACCCCGCCCACCCACCCCTTCTCGATTGTGATGAATGCTTTATTCATCGTGAGCTGAAGGGCGGAGTTTAGTTGCAATCCTCATTTCTCTACAAGAAATAACCATCTGAAATATGTTTTTAAAAGGGTAGAATTTTTTAGAGAAATATTCATGTTACAATTAAGCTCCGCCTTTAAAAACTCAGCACAATTGAAATCCGGGCGGGTGGGTGGGGCTTACTTTTTTTTGTTTTTTTTAATATACATATAGTTTTTTTTTCAACAACAGGATAGTTAAAGATATTGTCAATTTCTTGTTGCGAAACGATGACTACGTATATTAAGAAAAAATTGACCAAATATAAGCCTCGCCCACCCACCCCTTCTCTATTGTGATTAATATTTTATTCATCGTGGGTGGAGTTTAGTCGCAAAATCCTCATTTTTCTACAAGAAATAACCATCTGAAATATGTTTTTAAAAGGGTAGAATTTTTTGAAGAATATTGATGTTACAATTAAACTCCGCCTTTAAAAACTCATCACAATTGAAATCCGGGCGGGTGGGTGGGGCTCGCTTTTTTTTGTTTCTTAATATATAGCGTTTTTTTTTTTCAACAACATTATAGTTAAAGATATTGTCAATTTCTTGTTGCGAAACGATAACTACGTATATTAAGAAAAAATGGACCAAATATAAGCCCCGCCCACCCACCCCTTCTTAATTGTGATGAATATTTTATTCATCGTGAGCTGAAGGGCGGAGTTTAGTTGCAACAGGGACAACAGTGAATTATTTTTAATAACATCTACACATGCTCGCTGCCCTGGCATTTTAAGTGATTTCTTTTTGCATTTTAGTCCCATGAAAAATAAACATAAATAACATACTACTGAAATGATATTAAATCCGACTTAAAGAAATGAATACGGCTCCTAATGCAATGGAAGAAGCGTCAGTTTTTAAAATACAAGTGTTACTTTCTGTAAAATTTGGATACTGTAAAATTGGTGGTTTTACTAAAGAATTTTTCAATGTTTCAAAAGAGTTTCGACATTCCACGTTTCTACGATAATGCTTCAAACATATTTCACTCCGTAATTTCTTGTACAGAAATGTGAACTTTGCGGTTAAGCTCCACCCCTCGGTCCCACGACGAATAAAAAAATTCATCACAATTGAGATGGGGTGGGTGGGTGGGGCATATCAATTTCAAAAATAAAATAGGTACTGAAAATATCAAATGGTGAATTCGAGGTCAGAACTATGTTTTAAGTATTATAATGTTGAAAGTAAACGCTATACATTATTTTTTATTGGTCGTTATTTCGAAGGACTTAGTTTAATTACAAAATTTAGAAAAATTTTCCATTTTTAAGATGTTTTGTGTTGCTTGCTGCGAAAAGATGACTATACGTATATTAAGGAAAAATTTGGTCGAAAGTTGTTTCGACAGAACTTTCCTTGCACCTAAAGTACAATAAAACATATTCGAGTTTCAGTGTTTCTAAACGATGTTGTAAAAATCAGCAACGATAAAATGGAAGTCTGGAAATTTTTGTTGGAATTCTTGTAAAATAGCACCACTCGCCTTTAATTTACATATTTGGTAGTAATAAATTATGATATCTCTCTTGAAAAACCTAAAGTTGAATAAATTAGTGTTACGTTAAAGCCAGTATTGCTGAAAATTCATCAAGCCTTAAACCGCCGTTCTGGTCGAATTGATAGTAATTAATTAAAATAATTTTTTTGGCTAATTTAGTGGCCACTGTGAAGCTGTCAATCAAAACAAGGCTGTTTGTTGTTTTCTTAAAGCGGAATTTTATGTTGTTCCGGGTGGCAAAACATCTGTCAAGAATTTGCAGGAACTGAGGTTAAAAATACACAATCAATTAACCACATAAACAATAATGTATATATGTTGAAGATCTTCTACCAATTTTCTTTGTAACTTCACACTTCACTAATGTTGATCGCTATATCCGGATAAATTTTCCAAAACAGGTACTGATACTATAGAAATCCAGCGATCGAAATAAAACACTGGACAATTTTGTACCAACTATAATTCCAGAAATTTGAAAACAACGTGCTTGTAGCTTCGTTCTAAAAGCTCATTAACACACGAATCATCGTCAGCTCGCCTCGCAACAACCTCTCCTCGTTGACAATAAACCGGAAAATTTCGTATCCTCCGGCTCGTTTGATTTACGACTTCGTACCTTTTTATTTGGTCCATGTGTCGACACGTTGTGATTTACACAAACTATTAATCAATCCCGAACCGTACACTTATATGAGCCAATACAGTTTTACGGCTCTGTATATGGTTCTCATCCGTCCATAACAACGTTTTGATCGTGAAATGCTGCGAACCTAATAGAAAGCAAATCGATCATCTCTCGACTTTTTACAAGAAAAAACCCGATACACATGACTGTGGTTTCTTCATCCAGATCTATTAATAATTGCGGATTTTAAAACAATGGACTTTCTTTTCCCATGGCATGGGTTGTAAGCCGTGTTTTTTATTTGTTGGTGTGTTGTCGTTGTTTGTTGGTTATAATGACCACGACCGGAGCTCGAATCCGGGATTGTCGGTTGGTAGCCCGCGGGTCACTGGGTGCAGTGCCGTGGATGTGCACTTTATGGACAATGACGGGTGGGTGCGCCATTGAAATAACAAACAGTAGAGAGGAGGTCTGGGCCTTGGAGGATTTCGAGCTAAATTGATACGCACCGAACGAAAATATTCAATACTAGTCAGTATTAAATTTATGTATTTAGGTACGTAAGTCCAGTTAGTGCCGCTTGTTGCCAAAAATGTTTTACAAATATACATATTTATCAGTTTTTAGAACCCATAAAACGTTATCAGGTAAATAAAGGTCGCTATTTGTTGTCCTTGCTTAATATTTTGTGAAGAGCGAGCTTTGGCGATACAATGTTTCTGTTAAAATCCAAACTGGAAATAATTGTCTTAGTAACATTTGTTTTGTTTATTGTGTGGCTGCAAGAGTCGTCACAGATGAGTTGCCTTTGTTACGAAATATATAAACCTGTGTGTGGTTCAGATGGAAAAACATACCAAAATCAGTGTGCGTTTGATTGTCACAAAAACATAACTCACGACGAGAACTTTAAAGTGGCGCATACAGGGGCATGTTAATGTGAATTTGTATGACACATTTTTGAATAAAATCTGATGTAGAATGTCATTTTAGTTTTTTTTTATTGTAGGTAAGTTGTGCTGTGATTAATAGATCGCATAAGTCATACTCATGATTATAATCAAACACCTATTTGAATCTATTTCGATTAACAGGGTGTTATTGAAATGCACTTAATGATAATAATGATAATAATGATAATAATGTTTATTAGTACATCTAACAAAAGTCGTTGTACAAGTCACAAATTCAATACAAGGCACATTACATACATATGGATTTCTATAACTTTAAAATCAAGTCAAAACATTGGATGGGGGCACAATTACTGAGGTAACACTGAGGAATTCATAATGATTGTAAAATGCATTTTTGATGAGATAATCTGATATTTGTCTCTTAAATTGCTTTATACCAAGATTTTGAGTACTTTCTGATAATTTATTGTAAAATTTGACAGAGTAATAATTGAATGACTGGTTTCTTTTTAACCTCACAAAATTTGGAAGAAGTGCAGCGTTGTGACGTGTATTATACGAGTGAATATCTTTGTGTCTCATATGATTATTGATGTTAAGTTTAAGATGTAGCAGTGAATTTAATATATATATTGACGGTAGGGTTAATATTCTTAAGGATGTAAAATATGAGCGGCAATCATCCCTATAACCTATGCCAGCAAGAATTCTTATTGCTCTTCTTTGGAGCCTAAATATGCGATCACAGATGCTGGCATGACCCCATGTTAGGATACAGTATCTTAGATGCGATTCACATAAGGCAAAATATGCTGTTCTGAGCACTTGATATGATACTTTATTTTTAAGACTCCTTAACACAAATAAGTTTTTGCTAATTCTATTGGCCAGCTCGTCGCCGTGAACTTTCCAGGTTAGTTTTGCATCCAAATGTATCCCAAGGAATTGTGCTGAAGTGGTGAAATCGGGTGGAACATCGCTATTTTTTAAAGAAAATAACATAGTGGTAGTTTTATTTGCTTTCAAGCTGAGGTCGTTTTCTCTGAACCAATCTTCAGCCTTCGATTGCGTCTCCTCTCTTTTGACGCAGATAGTCTCCGTCGATGTTGCTTGGTTTATTAGGGTTGTATCGTCTGCATACAAGATAATTTTTGAGTCTATACTAGAAGATAGGTCGTTAATAAAAATAATGAATAAGAGGGGCCCCAGGATGGACCCTTGTGGCACACCTTTTCTGACAGGAAGACAATCGAATAATTGTTCCTTATATTTGACAACCTGGTGTCTATCTTCCAGATATGATCTAATAAGTTGAATGCTAGACGGTACCAAGTTATAGGCTGTCAGTTTTTTGAGGAGAAGTTTATGCGAGACGCAGTCGAAGGCTTTGGACAGGTCCAGAAAAGACGCAACTGCAATTTTACGATCTTCAAAGCACTGAGATATAAAATTAACTAACTCCTGAACAGCATTACCAGTGGAACGATTTCTCCTAAAACCATATTGTGAGTCAGAAAGTAAAGCATGTGATTCAAGATAAGTACAAAGTTGTTCAAATAGAATTTTCTCTAATATTTTGCCAAATATGGGAAGTAATGAGATAGGTCGATAATTAGATGGATTATTAGTATCACCCTTTTTGTATACTGGTACAGTGACCGCTGTTTTAAGACATTTGGGAAAGACGTAATATTTTATGCAAAAGTTAATAAGTTTTGCAAGTGGAGGTATCAGCAAGTCCTTTATACTTTTGACAATTTTCACATTAAGATTAAAGATATCAGAAGAATTACTATTTTTCAGGTTATCAATAGTTTCTCTCACTTTTATGTGTGACACTTTTTTAAAACTTAAACTAGGGCTATTAATCAAGGAGTGAGTAGACTTACTTGCTATACCACAGAGTTCAATATCACAGTCATTATTGCTTTGCGTTCCCAATTTTGAAATTTCATTTATAAAATAGTTGTTAAAATCGTCAGAGGTCATATCACAGCTTAATTTTTGACTATTAACACTTTTATTGCGAGTTTCGTTGATAATTTTCCACATAGCCTTGACTTTATTACTTGCAGTAGAGATGAATTTTTCATTACAAAGCATTTTCTTTTATTTATTTTGTCACGATATACTTTCCTAAACGAGTTTTTTGCTGACTTGGTTTGTTCACTCCCAATTAGATTATTTATTTCACATAAATGTTGTAATGTTTCCCGCATTTGAATTAATTCACTATCAAACCACTTTACAGTTTTGTTGTCAGGTTGACGCTTGACTACTTTTAGAGGGAAGGCTTGACCTACATGACCTTCTATTAGATTTACAAATTTTGTGAACAAGTCTCGTCAACTGAATTATTACTGCATAGCTTAATGAAGTCCCAGTTGATATTGGACACCGACTCGTAAAATTTGAATTTACCAAGAGCAGTAATTGCCCTATGTTTAATAAGCTGTGTTTTTTGTTTGTTTTTAGTAGACGAAATTAACACTTTAATTTTGATGCCTCTATGATCTGATAGGTGTAAATTCCATGGACTAATTTGAAAAAGTGCTTGATCTAGATTTGTAAAAACGTTATCCAGACAGTTGTTATTTCTAGTTGGAAATTCGACTAAGTGAAAAAGCCCATAAGTTCTCATAAAATCTAATAAGCAGTCTTTTAAGAGGTCTTCTTTGTCAAATTTTACATTAAAGTCACCAGTCAATATTATGTTGTTCTTTAGTGTGTTAATTATACCAAAAACTTTTTCTAAAGTACTCAAAAATTTGTTCAGATCTCCAGAGGGTGATCTATAGACATTTATCACATAAATTTCTAGGTTATTCATATAAATTCCAGATATCTCACCATGTTTCTCAATTGAGAGTTGTTCGAGATTTTGGAGACGAGTGCAAGAAACCTCAGCGTTCCTCATAATCATTGTGCCCCCATGTTTCGTTGAGTTTCTGGAAAAATAAGACTCAGTTACTTACAAAAGAATTGGGGGTATTGGTTGCACTTTTGTATTTTTCAGTTCTTCCAACGTTATCAGCAGAGTTAGGCATAGCCGAAGTGATGGGGAATCAATCAGACAAATATTAAATACGACAGAGCGTCGTCAGGCGATAAATTTGGCTGGCCGACTGTGCACTCTCATCCTCAGTGGCGTTTGCTGCAGTTCAGGGTTTATTTGATCAAGATCATTACGAAAATTGTTACGTTGAACAGTCATTTGTACTTTTTGAAGCAATTTTAACATCAAGGAGAAATCGTATAACTCAGGAAAACCTAGAAAAAGTAGTAATTCTTCTTGTCTGTTGAGATTCTTCTTCTCGGAGAGAACTTGGCTATTTGATTGTTCGTTGTCTCCTCATCTGAAAAAGTTCTTGCGGCTAGTTCGCAACGATTTTGTAGACCCAATGGGCTCGTCGTAGGTTTTTTGACATGCTTTGACTTTTCCTTATTGGATATCCTTGTTTAACGTTTCTTTCAGCACTTTGTATTTTTCTTTTTCTTGATCTTTTTCAGCTTGGGGCACATCTTTTTTTTGTTGGTCTTCATCAATTTTTGTCTTGGTTTGGGACACCAGGAAACAGGGTAAAGGTGTACATCTTCTCTAGATCCAATGAGTTCTTAATGGATTTTATCTATTTGTATTTGGCAGTTATGATATTCTGGGCTTGTTTGGTATTACAGGAATGAACATCTGAGTTTTTTACCGTCGTTTTCTTTTTCTTATGGATTTCGTCTAGCATACTCATGATATAAAGACATGGAAATATCAAGATGCCATATTTTAGAAACAAAGACTCGCAGTGATCACGTAAGTTGCCATTTGCAAGGATTCTGACCGCTCGTTGGACTCGGAATATTTTAATCACATAACTACAACTTCCCCAAATCAGTATACCATACGTAAGACGAGACTGGAATAAGGCATAATAGGTTGAAAGGAGATTACGAAAACTCAGTAAAGGTAGTAATTTCCGTAGGAAAAAATTGTACTAGCTAGTTTAGAACAAACTTGGTTGATGTGTGCTTGCCAGTTTAAACGATCGTCTATCGTTATTCCTAAAAGTCTGATACTTTCCCCATATAGCAAAGTGGGATTTGTCGATAGGAATAATTCCTGTCTCTTATGCTTGTTGACACAGTCCATTTGTATTGAACCAAGTTTCTGTGGTCCATTTCCTTTCGCTCATGAATTCTTTAAGTCTGTCTGGATCCTTGTCAGAGGTTATTATAAAACATCGGAAATCCCTCAGATTTTCCTTCAAGTGCGGACAATATGAAAGATATTTTACGCAGCATTCTCAATTTCTCAGTACATGCTTAACTTCCACAGTTTATGTTTATACTTCGAAAGAATTGACTATTAGCAAATTACAAGCATCAGCGGCTGCACTTATGTTAAAAGAAAATCAAATTTAACCGATTTTATCTCCTCAACGTATAGATGAAACCTAACTAATTAATCAAGCCCCCTCATTGAAAAATTAAAAGTCGAATAATTGAAAAATAGCAAAATCTAAAAACTAAAACACCCAAAAGTTGGGAAATAGAAAAACTGACTAATTTAGACATGAAAATAAGAAGAGTTGCATGCCATAAAATTGAAGAAACAAAAAGAAATGAATAAACGAAAAATTCCAAAATATAAATAAAATGGTTTTGAAAAATAAAAATTGTCTAAAAATTGTGTTCAAAGGCAGGAATTTTGAACATCTTCTCTATTGTTTAGTTGGTTATGGTTTAATGGATTTTTCCCACCCGGCCTCTTTTTTCTTAGAAGGAATGTCATTTGCCAAAATCAGTTTTATCTTGACAAGTACTAAACCCGCCCATCCACCCTCTATTTTCTTAGATAGTATCTTATTTGCTAAAATCAGTCTTAACTTAGCCGCTACTAGCCCCACCCACCCACCTTTTCTTTTCTTAGAAAGTATGCCATTTGCCAAAATCAGTTTTATCTTGGCAGATACTAACATTTGGTCCATTTTTTCTTAATATACGAAGTCTTCTTTCTCCAACAAGAAACTGACAATATGTTTAACTATTCTGTTTTTGAAAGAAATCAGACTGAAAGGCGGAGTTTAATCGTAACCGTCAATATTTTTCTAAAAAATTCTACCCTTTTAAAAGCATATTTCATATGGTAATTTCTGGTAGATAAATGAGGATTTTGCAACTAAACTACGCCCTTCAGCGCACGATGGATAAAATATTCATCACAATTGAGAAGGGGTGGGTGGGCGGGGCTTATATTTTGTCGCGAAAAAGTGGCAACAAAACAAAGACAAAAACGATTAAGAAAACAAAAATAATAAAATTGCAAACATAATTACGTCGTCTAAATCGTTAATCATCAACAGGAACAAGAGTGGACCCATGATCAAACCCTGTGGTACGCCGTACGTTACGTTGTGATATAACGATTCTTTACGCTTTTTGTTTCGTTTATTAGTTTATTATACTCAATTTTTAATCTTTTGATCTACAGGATCTTTTGTATTTTTTACATTTTAGGCTTCTTGCGGGATGTCTTAAAAACACTATGTTTAAAACTCCCATTTACACCATAGAAGAACTGGAAGACAGAATTACCGAAGAACGTGTTCGCATTACTCCTGCTACACTACCAAATGTGTTTGATAAGTGTGAATGGATACCATTTCTAACAGTTTCTTTAACTTTTTTTTCGCTTTTTAAGTAAATTTATTCACAAATCTGCACACGTTATGTTCTTTCACTAGTTTTTCTAGTCTTCGACAAGCAAGAGCTAACCTTCGTTTGCAAATTGATTTGTGTCAGTATACAACCACCATTACACATGTGTTTGTTTAATTCCATAATTTGAAAAGTATCCGAAACCGAGAAGAGATCGTTCAAAATTGCACAGCATTCTTTGATCTAAATTATTAATGAACACACGATATATGTACATTGTGCTAGGTTTATTCTTGTGGTGTTTAATCGTCTTCTATACTTTTCGGTGCCTCTCTTCTTGCAGCCTCCCTGTATTACTTGTACTACTATTTGTAGTTACCCTATATTTGATTGTCTATTACTTTTTTTTTAATCATTAACATGATTTCTCTGTCTTTTTCTTAAAAATATTTCCCCTTTTACAGATCGTTCTTGCATATGCTTTTTCAGGTCATTCTTTTTGGATTATCTTCTTTTTTTCTTCAAAAGTTTGTGTTTTTTCTATCTCTTCCCTGATTTGAGGCGCTGCCAATTCCTCTGTGATTATTTTAAGGCTCTCGGTTTGACTGACCTGCTCTGACCTCATCCGATCTCTTTATTGCCTCAAATAAACAAATTTTAAACATTTTTGAATAAATAAAAACTAAAAAATACATACATTCTTAAAAGAGTTGTATTTTGTGAAACAAAAATTAATAATAATTTTCTTGAGAGTACAAACATCTTGCAACCAAAAAGAAGCTTCTAAAAGAAATGTCGGTGGGGTACCGAATGAAATGACTTTTAATCAAGATATTGCTCAAGGTGGTTCTGAAATCTGTGAATTATTTGCCAGTTTCTTTTCGTCAGTTTTTGTGGATGATGACAACAACCCTCTTTTTTATGATATCATAGATCATTCAGTAATGGTTAATGACTCAGGTCTAAAAGTTGGTGTCTCTGATATTTTTGAATGTATTTCTCATCTTAAACCTTCGAATTCTTTTAGTCCAGATGGTGTTACAAATAATGTTTTAAAACAGTGTATTTTTACAATAACTCAACCGTTATTTTTATTATTTAAAACATCTTTAGAAGAAGCAGCTTTTCCCTATTTTATTGTTTCGCAAAATTATAAATTATCGCTATTCAACCTCTGTAAATCCGCACGATCGTTTTTCGCAGGAGTACCCCCAGGCAGCTCCTCGAGCGTTACCGGTTACCGTCATGCGTGGGCCCCTACCTGACGTTAAAAATTAAACATCATTGATTAGTACCAGTTATGTAATTGAACCCCTCCGAGCGCATATATGTGCACGCATTGTATTTTATAATTGAATTCTTCACAATCGGAACGGCTAAATGATTAGCTCTTGCTAATACCGCAAGTCACTTGGAGCTAATTAAATTTATATATGTGATGAAAAACACGAGGTGGTCTCGGCCGCACCTAACCATTTTTGTTCTTGTACGACACGGACGGACGTGTGTACTTACAAATTAACCACCAGTAGGAAGCGGAAAGTACAAGGAGGGCGACGCTTTAATGTGATGTGGTAACATTATTTAAAACATGCTTTTTCAGTGACATGATATCGAAATTAGGCGATACTTCATCGTTAACATGGGTACTTTAATTCTAGTATAGTTTTAAACATCGTAATCAGTTATCTATGTTACGAAAAACCATTAAATCGTGATACACTGCTGAAATTAGTTTTTTCTAGACTAAAATTTTTTGCTTTGTTTGTTCTTGAGATGGCATTACAATATAATTATATTATTAGAGAACGGATTTATAAGCACAAAAAAATTAAGAATAAGCGCTTAAATAAGCACATTTTCAATAAGAAAGTTTTATTTTAAGCAATAAAGCATTAAAAACATAATCATATTACAAATCAAAGAACACTTCTTAGAACTTTGGATAAAATATTATTACAATAATCCTAGACTTTATATTTTACACACGTATTTCAGTTTTCTTTAAAACAGTTTATGATTGTCATATGTTCCAAGTTGTCCACTGTAAAATTTTTTCGCCGATCATTTAAAGTGTGTTTAAAATTGGAGAATGTGCGTTCAACATCCACACTCGTTGTTGGCGCAAATTTGAATTTTGCAACTAATGTTGAATCTAACTCTAAATTTTCCACCTTCTGGCGTTGTAAAACACGAGCAACGTCGGAAAGAAGACCGAAACCTGCATTTTTATTTAACACTTCGTCAAGTTTTTGAGATACTCTAGTACCAATATCACCCCTTACTGCGTTTGCTTGTTGTTT